TTCTAACTCTGCTTTTGTAACAAACATTGCACCTCATGTCTAGAAATCTTCAACCTTTTGGGAATTTGTCTTTGAGAATAGTTTTCCTTTAATAAAATTTCAATTTGTGCCCTCACCTCAATGATCAGTTGTTTTGATTTTGCCATTTTGTGCTAATTACTTCAAAATTAAAAAATAAATAAAAAGAGAAACTATGAAAATACTGTTATAATGGCACTTTTTTTTTTCAAACAAAGACAGCTATGTGTGTTTTGTTAACAACATTAGTTAGTGCAGAGCTAACATTTAGAACAGTGTTTCTCAACCTTTTTAAGCAACAAGCACACCTAGAAGCAAACAAAAGTATCATGGAATATTTAGCCAATTTTTTAAAGGGTATACATTTAAACAATATGCTGATTGTCCTCCTTTGAACTTATATGTGCTCCATTTCAAATTACAGGTGTGTGAAAGCGCAATAAAATATTACTATGAAAAAAATAATAATTTCAGAACAATTAATGTCGTTTTCATTTTATACAAACTTCAGAGCAATATACTTTTAAAAAATTGAAAAATAATTAAATCAAAATGCTCAATGCTGCATAGCAGAAACTTTGACAATATTAATTCATAATTCAATATAATTTAGTAAAAATTTTGAATTAAAAAAAGAATGTTGAATACAATTATATGAAAAAATGTTAATATTCATTTTTTTCAAATAAAGGAAAATTTTTAAAAGTTAAATTAAAAAAATAAAAATACTTTTTTAAAAAATGAATATTAAAACAAAGTATTTAAAATAACATAATTGAATAATGAAAAGAATTATTTGAGAAAAGCTCACTACTAATGCTGTCCCATTACTACTTCCACACACACATATATATATATATATATATATATATATATATGTATGCCATGACAATATTTCACGGCCCACTGGTGTGCCTGCCACAGCACAGCAGCTGGGAATCACTGATTTAGAACCTGTATTAATATTTAACTTAGTTGAAAATTTTAGTAATCACAAAATGTCTACTGAGGTGGTTAATAGTGAAAATAAAATATAATGTTTCTAATGCAAAATGTTCATAATTTAGCAAAATGTATTGCGGACAGACAAATCCAAATTTGAATTTGGTATTAAGAGGTGCTTGGAGAAAGACTGAAAAATAAAAGCAAATACACTGTTGTTACTGAAATGTTATCTTTTACTTAAAAAAATGCAAAAATATTTTAAGGTGTTTTTTAGAAATGCAGGGTGGTCTCAAACTTTTTGCCTAGTGTATTTAGTCTCGGCAACAGTACTATACATTTAAAAAGGTTTCTTTATCTAATAAAATATAATACAAATACTGAACATTTCTCATCATGAAGAGGTTAAACTACTATAAAAGCTTATATGTGGTGTCTGTCCTTTTTATACAAGTCAGTATAAAATATGTCATATAAACCTCTCCCCATTACAGTAGGTACTAAAAAGATAATAAAATGCTGGAAGATACAATGTATGTTACGTTCATTTCATTCATGTTCTCTATTTGGCTCTGTTCAAAACAAGTTTACTTTCATGCATTAACTATAAACTTATGAAATTGTAATATTTGAGAAAAAAGGCAGTTTTATATGCCATCAGATATGGTATTTATCTTTAATTTTGCCTGCACCTCATTAAAATTTAATTTCTTTCCTTTTTCCTTCACTTTCAAATTTTTTTAAAAGCTATGTTGAGGTGATCAACTACTGGATTAAAGGTGTTTATATAACCTGACAAAAATCACAAATCCAGCTTTCTGGCAGTGTCAGAAGAAGGAAGCAGAAGAATAATCCAGGTCTGACTGGTAGCTATAGTAACAGCAAGAAACCACAGACAAGTAAGACCACTTGCTCTTAAGTGAAAAGCTAGCAAACTGACCTCTGCTAAGGGGCCAAGTTGATTGGCTTTCTCAGCATTATTAAATTTATGTACTTTTTCGATATGAATTATAAAGCATTTACGCAACTTGAATCTATCTCAGTCATTTTTCATTATTGAATCTTCTAATAATAACTGGTTTCAGTTATCTTTACCTAAGATGATGACTCATTGTAGAATAATGGTTCACAAGCTCACCTCACTGGATCCTTCAAATTTGTAGCCTTGTACCAGACAAAACTAAATCTTTTAAACAATAATCATAGAATAGTTGGGTTAATATCCAATAAATACAACCACCACTGATGTCACCCTCCAACCATTTTATTTATCAAATATATATGTTTAAAACAACTTGTATCTAAATTGATATGATGCTCCCTACAGCCATGTAAGAATGAGAGTAAGTTTGTATCAAGAATGAATAACAAAATCAGTGTAGCAACATGTAAGTGATCAGAGGAATACTAAGAAGTCTTGTTATTAAACAAATACAACATGTTCTGAAGGCATATAAAATATAAAGGATGTCCAAAAAAAAAGGTACAAACATTTACTAACAGGTTTATTACAATACAAATAAAACATTATGCATATGTTACCAGCACCATCAGCACATAAATAATCTCTTTAAAGTACACAGTGTCAAGTGAGTAGTGTCACTTTTACACCAATAGTATGATTTATGCAGAACTGCTTCTCAAATAAATATCATTTGAGGAGCTCAAACAGAAGATAAATCTAAAGGAGTCAAGGTTGAGTCCATGACCTAGAAGCTTCCATCATCACTGTCCACCGTCAAAATCCAGAAATCAGTAAAAAAATTGATGGCATCTGTGTTCTGAGATACAAATAGACTCTGTATCCCATTGTCAGACAGGTAATGTAGTTAGAAATGTTGGATAGTTTAAGGAAAGCTTTTTGGTGAAAGAGACCAGGATGTTTGCATTAGGGTGTTAATCCTGGTGCTTAACAACACCACACATATGTGACTAACCTGAAAAAAATATTGGTTTCTGTGATATGGTTGGGATATTTGACCATATCTATTGCACAGTTCTAATATGGATCCTTCAGTTTGAGTCCCTAAAATAACATTTACCCAAGAAATCTTCTATACAGATAAGACTGTTGTTACAGAGGTGCAAGTTTGGCTCCAATTGTTCGATGCCACATTTTTCAGGACGGTATTTATGCAGTGATGAATCAATGTTGATTACAGTTATATTGAAAACTAGTGTTTTAGTGCTGGTAACATGCACAATATTCTATTTTTTTTACTAATAAACATATTTCTATTTTAGGAGATCCCTTGTAGTTGGCTATGAGGAATTAACTTATCCCACAAAATGACATGATAACTTTTGAAATGTCAATGACAAAATGGTCATAACATTTGACTAATGGTAGAAAAGTTGAGCATTTAACTGCTGTCAACAATGTACAATGTGGCAAAGATTTACTCAAAAATTAGCAGCATAAAGATCTTAAGAAAATATTCATGCAAATGTTAAATAAAAGGTATTTTTTTATTATTTGTTGAGCAATAATAAACTGTTACTAAATTTTTGTTTTCTTATATTGTTTATTTACTAAGTACATTAATCCTGAATGCAGCCAAATAGTAGTAAAATATTCTAATTATTTTAATAAAATAATTTTAACAACAATAATTTAATTTAAAATATTATCATCACTTGTTTTATTTTTTTACTGAACCATCAAGAGATATTTTTCTTTCCATTAATCTCACAAATATTTCTTCATTTGAATATTACAAAGTTTTTAATACCAATTTTATATGGTAACGGAATCATTAATTTGTACTAAACATTAATAAGAGAATTCAAAATATTCTTTTTCAGAACTATGACATAATTTGTTCACTCTTTTAAATTAGTATATTTTATAATATTTAAGATAACTTTTCCACCCACCAAAAATGATTCAAAAAATATCTCACAGGCTTTATATGTAAAGCTGTTGTAGACAACCTACTAGTACTTTTACCTCATCTAATTTTACATTACATGTAAATGAAGATATATGTCAAATATACTATATGATAAAGAATGATTTTAAGAAACTGAATGAAAAGGAAAAATATTTGGGCAATGTTTTTTTCATTGTAAAATTAAGCTATAACCAAAAAGAATTATATGTTAAATTGAAAATTTATTCTTCATTATGAATTAAGTTTTTTATACTTCTTTATTAAAAGTCAGATATGAATTTGTCCCCTTCAGACAAAACAGTGAAGGTGATTAGATCAGATTTGTTTACATTAGAAGAAATCTTTTAATCTACTTTTATCATTTGCTTATCCATTTATATGTGATTTATTTATTTCATAAATTAATTTTTTTACTTTACAATGTTCTACTTTAGTTTAAAGTTAAACCACATAGAAGGTAACAGTTCTTATACGATGTGAAAATTTAAACAGCTTAGATGGTGAACCATTTGGGAACACCAGGTACTGTAATCAAGAGAAAATAAACCCTAACAAGAAAAATCCCACTGTTGGAATGTGGAGAGTTGGTAAAAAGATGAAGATGCATACAATGAGGGACATTCTTGTTTTCAATCACATCTTACATCTGTTTTGATGGATAAACGTTACTGTCAATGGCAAGAAGATACCATCTTTAAAAATTACACACTGAAACCTTTTGTAGGAGTTGTAACCACTAATTTTATCAAGTTCACTTGGATTGTATGTTGAAAACATAATTACTGAATTTAACCATTCAACATAATGTTTGTTCAATGGCAATTCAAGAAGGACAACTTTAGTAAAGTTTTAACAATAAAGTTTTGTAACACCTGCATTCATAAGGAAAAATAATTCTCCTGTCACAAAATGTTAGAAAGTTACACAAAAGTAGACTTCCTAGAGACACACAAAGAACAATAATATAAATAAGATTGGTAATGCAATTATATAGATGTGCTTACAAAAATAAGAAAGAAAATTTTCTCAAGTTGGAAACTTTTCAAAGTAATACCCAATGTGAATTTTAAAGAATGTTATCTTCAAGACAGTGGTTTATTTCCTACAAAATAATTAACTTTGCTGTCATTATTTGACAGAACTTACCTGCTTTTTCCTTTCCAACTGTTTAAGAATGGTAACACCTCCTTCCATCATATGTTTCATTATTGGTTCATCGGCATCTACGCTGTTATCACTTTCTACACGGTACATGGCATTCATCAAGTCTGAAAGAGAAAAAGTAAATACGAAACATGAGGAAGTTTTCTTGTCAAATGTAATTGGTGCTCCAGAGAAAATACCGTTTACAAGCCTTTCTGGAATTTAAGGACACTCAACAACCAAAAATAAAAATGACCCTTGAAAATTGATAACACAATGATTTGTTTCAGACAGAGATAAAAGAAAACAAAATAGCAAAGACACAGAAGCAAGACAAAGGAATATAACAAAAGTGAGAAAGAGAGACAATAAACACAAAGAATCACACATTCATGAAACAGCAATTGAACAGGTAATGTTGTAGTACAGAGAAAAACCTAAAACAAAGAGTTATAAAACAAAATACCAAGAAACAAATATTCCAGATAAGAAAACATCATTATAGAACATCAAAAGTAAAAATGTTAAAAAAGCAAAGAACAAAGACACAAGCCATACAACAGTCAGACAAAAAAAGAACAAAGCAAAGATTTCAGACTTGCAACAAGGGACCAATAGTATAACTTAATGTAAAAAGAAACAAAAATATTCAAACAAAAACATGCCACAAAACAAAAACAGCAGAAGTGTAAAGAAACAATCAGAAAGCATAATCATCACCCCAAAACAACAGCATGACTGAACTAGCACAAGAATATGTAATGAAAAAGTTGAAAATAGGGAAAACAAATAAACACAATGATATAAAAATACAAAACTCATTTGTGAAAATTATAGGGTTATATAGGCAAACACACTCATACAAAACAAGTTACTTTTTTCTTTTTCCTTTAATCACTGAATTATTAAGTATTCTTCATGAGTGCAGCAAAAAAAAAATGATGATTTTACAAGCTGCTGAAAGTGGATTTGATTCATAAGCTAATTTATAAATATATCTTCTTTCATTTTTTTTTTTTTTAAATGTGGGGGTTAAAAAACACTCAGCTAGTAGTAAGTGCAGAAGAAGGAAGAGTATTAGAACTCTGTGGTTTTATTACTAATATATTCTGAGAAGGTACACAAGCTCAAAAATTAAAAATGTACATTCCAAATTTTAATAGACTACACAGTAGATTCTGGTGCAATGTTTTATATGCTGATCTTATGAATGATTCACATTGTGAAACTATTTATTTGCATATATATTAAATAGGACAAAATCTTTTCTCTATAAAATCTATTAAACAATTAATTTCAAATATTTCAAGAAATGGTTATGCATGTAACTTGACAACGACACAGTAGTCATCTCAGCCAGTAGTGTAATGTCATTAAGTGATCTTGTATATTGCATGTCCAAACTAAAGATTTCTGTTTTTTCAAGAATGTTTTCAATGACTTCTGTTTCCCTCAATGCTTGAAGTCCCAAAGACTCTTGACAAAGGAATAAGTTGCCATTGACCTTGGTAGGCTATTTTTTCTATTAATGCTAACTGGATGGATACTTTTTTGGATAAACAGTATATAAAAACAGTGGTATATTTTAATACCATTTAAAGGCCTGCTGTAAATCAGTCAAGCCAGAAAGGAAGAAATTAAGGTTGTTTTCTTAAACATTGTCAATAGGAGATGAGTAGAAATGTCATAAGTCAAAGATAAACCACAGAAACTAATAAAATAAAAAGAAGCATATTATGGAAACAAATGAAAACAAACATTAATAGTCTTAAGCTGTCTGAATTTCCTATATGAAGCAGTGTTTTTATTTTTATTTTTTTTTAAATAGCTTTTTCCTTGCTTACTTTTGTTGCTTTCTATCACAATTCTCAGGTCATTATTACATCCTATGGTCATTAAGCAAGGATCTTAGGGATAAAGGATGAAAGTTCAAAACTCACTGAAAACTTATTTTTTTAAGGCTGTTTATCCAACAGTATATAAACAAACGGATTTTGTGAGAAATAAAAAACAAACAAATATAAGATGAAAATAACTAGTAAAAAAAAAAAAAAAAAAAAAAAAAACAAGTAATAATAAAAATGCTTAATCTAAGAAATTCAGATAACTTAAGACTATTATATCTACTACTATGAGATGCAAACAAACAAGTATATTTTTTAGTTTATAGCATGGAGTAAAAATTTGAAGAAGAGAAATTTAGTTGTATAATTAATTTGAATTATGTCTGCTGGTTAGCTTTTATATCCAAATTTCCATGTCCCTATATGGTTCAAACAGGCTCACAGTATAAGGAATTCAGTTCAAATCATGTCAAAAGCTAATTCTTTATTTTTAATTTATGCTGCTGAATGATCATAAAATATAAAAAATATTTTAGAAAAATCAATTAAAATAGTCCACCGCTATTAAGTGAACCAGTTTACCGCAGAACCCACTGTACTGTGGGTGGGTGGTGGACCCCAAGGTTTTGCTCTTGTACCCTCAATATTGCTCACTTTTTTTAGAAATTCCACCCTATTATACCAATTTCTAGGCCATCTTCTTCACAATAGACAGAACAAACAACAATCACCAGAAGGGTTCTAATTTGTTTTAATAATTTCACATGTTTTATCTTGATTTTAATGATCAAACAGCTCAAATTTTGTGAAATTTTAACATTTCAGCCATTTCACATCTAATCCAGTTGTATTGGTAATAATTATACATGATTACTTTATATTTCTATTTTGTGTGTGATCAAAGAGATTCTATAATAATGGACTAATTAATAGGAATTCAATTACTGCAATCAGATACCATGGATGGGGTATAAATAGGAGTACTTTTCTCTTGTTGCTCATGTTCAATTTGACTGTCCGACAGCAGACATCAAGAATCTCTCATAAATAAACAAATATAAATAGTAGTAATAGGAGTCACAATCAGGAAATTGTGACCCCTAGTAGTAATACAAAATGTCTAAACAAAGTGTACACAGCAAAGGAAAAACTGCATTTGATAGGATATGGAACAGTGAAATAAAGGCAAAGATCAGCAGAGATACAGGAGTACCTGAATCCATCCTCAGGAGTTGGGTGAAGGAGGACACCAAGCTGCGAGAGTTCGCAAAAACTGTCCATAGGTCAGAAGGACTGTGTAGAAAGAAGGCCTGGACAGCCAATGATGAACAGCTGGACAAGGCTATGCTCACCTGGTTTGTAAAAGAGCAGTCTGTCAAGTTCTATTGTGAGGCACCAGGTAGAGAAGTTTCACCATCAGCTCCATGGAGCTGATGGTGAGGGTGACTTCACTGTTAGCTAGGGGTAGCTCCAGTGTTTCCAGAAGAGACATGACATAGGAGCAGTGAATATCCAGGGAGAGCAGAAGTCAGCCGATACAGCAGCAACAGATTCCTTCCCAGCCAAGCTGAAAGAGTTCCTGGAAGAGGAGGCCATGTATCTAAGGCTAAGTATCTAATAAAAATTTCCCAAATAGTTATATTTACGTGTAAATAAATTTACATGCTTAATTCAAAAATAACAAAGAAATTTTGATAAAATCTACCTTTTTGGAGTTATCAATAATAAAAGCATGAACTCATTAGCGTTGCAGCAACCATTACTGGCATTGTTTGCATATATTTGCTGCAGAATAGACAATCACTTGTCTTAATTATTGCACATGCACTGATGCAAACAATGCCAATAATGGCTGCCATGCCATAGCCAACAACAACACAAATGAGCCTGAACTTTTATTGTCGATAACTCCAAAATGGTAGATTTTATAGAAATTTCTTTGTTGTTTTCGAATTAGGCATGTAAATTTAGAATAAAAAATAAGTGTTCAGGAAATTTTTATTAGATACTTAGTGCAGGGCCTAAAAACAAATTACCCAAAATTTCTCATGGAATCATTGGCATAAATTAGTATAATTTTTTGAGGTTCTTTTCAAGCCATTATCTACGGTATATACCACAAAATAGGGCCCAAAAATCAGGTAGGTGTTCAACCTCCTGTTATCACCTACATCCCACCCCCACAGCTACTGCAATTCACTTGCTGTGCGGGTCAGCCATTTTGAACCCCAAGGCCCACGCTATAGCAATGAACTACTATAATATGAAAGATAAATTAGCATAATAAAATTATTATTAAGCATGACAAGAATACAATAATGCTGTATTCTATTTACATTATTTACAAGTGCACTATCTATCTTATCTTTTTTGTTGTTATCACGTTTTGACTGTTTTGTCTTCCAACCTGCATTTTCAGATAACCTACAGGGAATTTGGAACTGAACTCTTTATTTAAGCTACAGGTGTAGATTGTTCTCATTCCACTGCCCATATCTAGGGATATCCCATCTAATTTTTATTTTAGTACTGCTCAGTTATTGTTTGCCATATTTCCACTGAATACAAGTGCACATTTACTGGACAAGAGACTGAACTCACAATTACTGTGTCTGGGATAAGTAGTTATCATTATTTACATTATTTACATGTAGACTATTGTCCTCATCTTTGTTGTTGTTATCACAACATTTTGGACAATGTGCCTTCCAGCCTTCATCAGGTATATGTCGATATAGGCAACATAGAGGGAATTCTGAACTGAACCCTTTATTTAATCTATGGGAATAGATTGTTCAAGAAATTATTGTATTTTACTATAAGACAAAAGACAAATTACCATGAAGCAAATTTACAATTGTAAGAATAAAATATCTCAGAAAAATAATACGAAAGAAGATGCCCACCCAATATGCTAGCATCTAAATTCTTATTTTGTTGCTACTATATTATGCAGCCTACTATTAACTTTTTACATGTAGTTTGTGCCATACAGCTTGTTAGTAAATATAACATACTATTTACAGTCCCTATGCATGGGGCTTTAAGTTGGTAGAGTAGTAGGTATTTATCCACACACCAATGTTGTTACAGAATATGATACAAAGTTGAGGTTTAATGTCCAAACCTCCCTGGCACTTACCCTTTTAGAGACACCTCAGACACCAGGTGCAGCCACTTCCCAAAGGTGAGGTACTGTCAGTGGCAATGGTTTTGGTAGTTTTCAAACTGACCTGGCTTGTGCCAGGGAATTATAACACACTTTGGTAGTATCTTCATGT